AAAGCATATAAGCAACATGTTTATAAATTGTCACATAAAAAGACCAAGAAATATAATTTTACCTACTAAATCACGAAAAAGTCTTAATTAACATGCATAACATAAAGAAGTTCATAAGTTTTCACAAATCACAATGCAAGATAATCTCCAACATAAGCAAAAGTCTACGAAACAAAACAAGCAAGTAACAATTAAAAAATATGTATTTTCGTTTAAAATATGATATATGTATTTTTAAGTAACAATTAAGTGATTAAAAAAACATGACTGTTCATAATTTTTTTAAAATATGATATATGTATTTTTAAGTAACAATTAAGTGATTAAAAAAACATGACTGTTCATAATTTTCTAGTTAGCATTCTTAATTGCTATTTAGTAACAATTAAGTGATTAAAAAAACATGACTGTTCATAATTTTCTAGTTAGCATTCTTAATTGCTATTTACTAGTTAGTATGAAAAGATGGAGAATGGAGGTAACAATTACATATTTACATGTTCATAATTTTCTAGTTAGCATGTTAATTAGAAAAGGAAGTTACAATTAGGAAATAAGTATACTAAATTACTAATTACTGTTTTTTTTATGGGTTAAACATGAAAAGATGGAAAATAAATTAGCAACTAGCAAGAAAGAGTCTATTACATGATGTAAATATGTAATATGTAAAATATTTATAAAAAAACAGAAAAAATAGTCTATTATATGACGCAGATGTCAAGCGCACACGAGGCGCACACGAGGCACACGCCTCGTGTGTGTGCAGCGCCCCGCCTCTGGTGCAGGGTACAATTGTCCCAGGCCGTAGCGCCCCGCGCCCGAGGCGCACACATCAACAACAATGATGCTTTATCGTTGGAATCATTATAACTATAAGCAAGGTTTTAAATATCGCCCGACATGTCCGACATGTCCCCCGACATATCGGTTTGAGGGCTTGACCGACACGACATGGATGTTTTCAACTTGTATGTCGGTTTTCAGGGTCAAATCGGAAATATTAGGGTCATGTCGGGCATATCGGTCTACTTTTTAGCTTTAAAAAATCGGTCGATATGGTACTTTTTTTTAAGATCTGTTTTTTATTATCGGGTTTGGGTTTAGTGATAAATACTCAAACCCGTTTGACCCGTTCTCATGTTTAAGAGTTTCTTATGAACCCGATAGAAAGAATTTATGAACCTAAATTCATATATTATTTACTTTTTTATATGTTTAGCCTATAGAATTATAAAGTATGCTTATATTGAATTTATGAATGCTTAGATTACATTTAGGACATGATATTATACATATGCGCACTACTCGATATGGCAATCCGATATTTAGTCAATGTCCCCCGATATATCCCCGATTTCCGCTATCCGACATGAATTTCAGCCATCCGACATAAACCCGACATCCGACATTTAAAACTTTGACTATAAGATGGAAGATGATGAATCAGAATATTAGGATTGGGAAAGGAACATGAGAAATGTTGTAAACTACTATAGAAATCATAGGTTGGAGTGTCTGTTGTCATGTCTTCAAGCAAATCATAGGTTGGAGAATGCAGATTGTTTGAAATTCTATACTTCAAGCAAAGCCCGTTTTAACAATCTTTCTGGGATCAGAATAATGATGCACAAGTTGGATGGTATTAGTGGAGCAATTTGGCCTCCTAAACAATTCATTTAGATCAATCATCCATAGGAAACGATAAGCCTTCCTCTGATCTGATCTAAACCAATAACTATGGAGCAACAATATGATAAGCCTTCTACTGATCTGATCTAAACCAAGAATTATGGAGCAACAATATGACTATCGGAATCCATAGGTCTTCCACCATCTATGGACTAATGAAACCGTACTCACTCTAACTTGGACTAAACCGACAAGCGTGGCACGCCCCGCCCCGGAATCCCGGAGTCGGTACGCTACTAGATCTGATGGACTGACCTCACAAATCACCACATGTCTTTTCAGCACGTTTTGTCCTCACTCACGCGCTCCCTGGAAAACTTCCCAGGGGGTCACCCATCCTAGAATTTCTCCAGGCCAAACACGCTTAACTTTAGAGTTTCTAAGAGTTGGGTTCCCGAAAAGAAGATGCATCTTGGTGGTATGAGTATTCCAATTAAATCTATCAATACTAATCACATCACCCTCTCAAGGGTTGGGGTATTACAAACTCCCCCACTTAAACTCGCAACGTCCTCGTTGCGCCAAATCATATCATCCAAGATCGTACCATCCGTGTGAGATTCTAAAGGTGGCTCCTACGGCCTCAAGAGGTGGCTCCCGCCCTCTCGACGTAGCACTTTGCGCCGTATAGCATTTAGCTCTCACAATTCCGGTTGGCTTTGCTCTGATACCATTTGTCACGCCCCGCCCCGGAATCCCGGAGTCGGTAAGCTACTAGATCTGATGGACTGACCTCACAAACCACCACATGTCTTTTCAGCACGTTTTGTCCTCACTCACGCGCTCCCTGGAAAACTTCCCAGGGGGTCACCCATCCTAGAATTTCTCCAGGCCAAGCACGCTTAACTTTGGAGTTTCTAAGAGTTGGGTTCCCGAAAAGAAGATGCATCTTGGTGGTATGAGTATTCCAATCAAATCTATCAATACTAATCACATCACCTTCTCAAGGGTTGGGGTATTACAGACTAGAACATGGGTACTAACATCCAGTGGTGGAGCCAGGATTTTCGGCAGTGGGGCCCAAAATTGAAGATGATAAATGATAGAAAATAAATCAGGATAAGTTGTGATTGAAAATAAGCGACGGAGGTGCGGGTAATGCACACGTGTAAGGGCAGAGGGAATCAGGCGGATAAGATCCATGCAATCAATTCACAATCTGTTCACGACTCGTGAGAGGAAAAGAAGAGTTGAAAAAGTTTGAGGGATCCTATATTTTATCCCCTAGGATTTGTAAAATTATTAACCAAGTTGCCCCCTAATTTTTTTTTTCATTTTCAGAGTTCTTGTATATATACCCTGTATTATATTTTTATAACTATTCCTCAAATCTCGGTATATGTAAGACTACTCTCAAATCATCAACTATGAAAAAAAATACCCCCAAACAAACAAAATAGTAACTTTGATTGGTTAACTTGTAACCAAACTGTAAAGATATCTACCAAATAGTCAAATATTTATTCGTAATATCCAACAAATTTGTTTTATATTGTAAAATTGAGTGTTTTTCTTTTCAAAGTAGGTTACTTGGGAGATTGGTTTCCAAATATGATTTAAAGATTATATATGCAAAAATATATCTTTTTTTAATGCTTGGAGATTTTTATTTATTATTATTATTATTATTATTATTATTATTTTTTGGGGGGTGGGGGGGGGGGGCTTTTCTTTTCAAAGTAGGTTACTTGGGAGATTGGTTTCCAAATATGATTTAAAGATTATATATGCAAAAATATATCTTTTTTTAATGCTTGGAGATTTTTATTTATTATTATTATTATTATTATTATTATTATTTTTTGGGGGGTGGGACCAAAACTTGGACTTCAATACCACTTGTCGGAAAGAATCAAGCCTTTTTGGTAGTTTGATGGACCTAAATAAAAATTGGGAATCAAATCTAATTCAGAATGTTAGGCTATGAGGTATTAGCCTCAACTTTCTGATTAAGTTTATTATTCTTTTCTTTTCTTTCTAATATGAGACTATACTCACATATGCATTCCGTATAGATGAGATTTAAGGATTGAGTGGGAGTAGCAGTTAGGTTTTTATGAGATTTGATAAGAGATTTGATAAGAAAAATGGACAAAGTCAAAAATTTTGCACCATCATGTTGCATCACACTCAGTAAATCTGTATATTTTAAAATCAGGTTATTGCTTTCACATAATAGGCAAGCACTTCACATGTCATCTTCAAGAATTATCAAATATCCATTTCAAGTTAAAATGCAGTTATGGAATGGTATACGATTAAAGGCCAAGAGGAGCCAAAGTTCTAAACGAGAATCAAGTTAAAGTTTTCTACTCTTAATGCAGTTATGGAATGGTATACGTTTATAGGCCAAGAGGAGCCAAAGTTCCAAACGAGAATCGAGTTAAAATTTTCTATTCTTAACTAAATTAGAATTTCAAATAATCTACATTCTTCAAGCAAATCCAGTCTTAACCAGAATAGGATTTCGAACAAACTGAAAGTCTCCAAATAAAACAAATTCACTTCTAAATAAACTAAGATTTTTCATATCCTAACTAATGAAGATCTTACTACATTATGTCTGTGATTTCTGAAATTAACTAAATCTCAGAAGATGCTTTACAAAATAAACTAAAATGGAATATATCTCGTATCATATAGGAGCTTTTTTGAAATTTTGACAACCTAGATGGAAAATTTAAGGAGTTATCGTTGTCTCATGCTATGGCCCTTGGTGTCAATTCCTACAAGCCTCCACGGCATTCAAAGATGGCCCATTTAAGTCTCAAATATTCACAGCACAAGTGACGAGTGCTTCCTACTAACTAGAAGGAAAAAAAATCTGATATTATGCCTGTCCATCGCAAGTTGCAGATGAAAAAAATGAGTATTATCTAAACCTGGAGGTGATTTATTTACGTAAGTCAGCACAAGTTGCTTGTGGGAAACTGACTTCTGGAGGGCTTGGGCTTATCTCTTTGATGTCTGATTGGACAATTTACTTCAGCGAATATGTCGCAGAAGCAAAACCTTTAATTTGAGCGACGAATCTTGTTTCCTGTTTCAAGTTTGTCTATATATGTTGAATTAGAAAAAGCACTATTTTTGTAAGTTGCTCTAGCTTCCTCTGAGAGTAGGTTACTACTTCTGAATAAATAGTTATGGAGAAGGATCAGCTAGCTAACTTGGAGCAGGAACTTTTGCATGCTTCATGACCTTAATAAAGCTTTTTTATAGTGTTCATAGGAGACGCTAACTTCTTTCATAATTTAGCCTTTTTGACTTCTCCCCTGGTTTTCCTGATCTCCTTTGCATTTGTTATGCAGATGCAGGCCAATTAGATTATACTTCTATAAGTGACGAGGAGTGGAAGAAGCACCTAACAAAGGAGCAATATTATATTACTAGGCAAAAGGGTACAGAGAGGGCTTTCACTGGGTATGATCCCAAAATTTCCCTAATAGATGAGGGAGCTTATGTGCCATTTTCCCTTAAATTCAATACTGCTGCTTTTTTACGTGTTGGTTTAAACCTGTGATTTTATTTTCAGATCCAAGGCAAAATTTGATAGTGGGACTGGTTGGCCATATATATATATATATAAATGTATAGATGAGGGAGCTTATGTGCCATTTTCCCTTAAATTCAATACTGCTGCTTTTTTACGTGTTGGTTTAAACCTGTGATTTTATTTTCAGATCCAAGGCAAAATTTGATAGTGGGACTGGTTGGCCGTCCTACTATGAACCTATTGGAAACAATGTGAAATCAAAGCTAGACATGTCAATTATTTTTATGCCTCGAACCGAGGTTCTTTGTGCAAACTGTGATGCTCATCTCGGCCATGTCTTTGATGATGGACCACCACCAACAGGCAAAAGATATTGTATAAATAGGTTAGAAAAACTTTCTTTCTGATTTCTGATATACTGCATGATATGTTCTTTGGTTATGTTACTAGCTTACGTCTTGCTAAACTTCAATTCCTTCATCTTGTTTGCAGTGCATCTCTTAAACTGAAGCCTCAACGGTAGACAGGCTCGGGAATGGATTGAGCAATCTAGCGTGAATATTGGAAGGGCTTCTGTTGTGAGTGTTATATACATGTGTTGCTTGTGATTTCATGTAAACTCGTATGACGAAAATACTAGCTTTTGATGTATTCTCCTATGTTTGTATGGAATGGCTGGAAACTAAATGATATGGGCTGTTTCTTGTGACATTCAAATCTGTATTTCATTCATCTGTCGACATTTTGAGATCCTATAGCATCCGCAAACTGCACATTTGCATCAGGGCCCTGATTGACTATTGTGTTCATCAATGTGTGGTGCACTTAATTTTTTTTAAAGCTCAAAAGTAGATAGTATCCGAGTAAATGACGTCAAATTTGATGAGAACATTATCTTTAGCATCTACAATGGAACGGATCTGATGAATCATCGTCATCATCAGCATCACCATCAATGCCATCTTCCTCTTATCATTGTTGTAGTACCGTAACAAAATCTATGCAGGAGAAACAAATCATCATTAACGCCGTCTTCCTCTTATCATCGTCGTAGTACTGTAACAAAACCGACACAGGAAAAACAAATCCTCTTATCATCGTCGTAGTACTGTAACAAAACCGACACAGGAAAAACAAATATCAGTCGCATCATCATCAATGCCATCTTCCTCTTATCATCGTCGTTATACCGTGACAAAAACAAAACTAATGCAGGAAAAACAATACCAATCACATCGTTATCTTCAAAGCACCATGCGATTCTGATCATTCAACTGTAAGTGGTCTGATGTATAAAACTAAGAGTTTAAATCCGGAGGAAAGAGTCTACCAGTCTCTGGGTCCAAAATTGTTAAACATTTGTTTTTTTTTTTACCTCCCTAACTGATAAAAGTACATCAGCACCTTATTTCTCTCTCTAAGACTTATTCAATTAAATTATGGGGTTATTTCCTCTCTAGTATATTCAGTGACAGGAATTAATTTTTATTTCTTTTTCCTGTGTTTAATTTGATCACTCAGATTCTAGTTCAGCCTCCCTATGCTATTATTAGGCCTAGTAAAATTTCAGATTACTAGCTCTCTCTCTTTCAATCCCTCAGAGTTTCTCCTACGTCTCCTCCGCTTGCTAGTATATTCCGATTTGAGATTTTTAGAATGCAAGATATAAAGATTAGACGACCAGGGCAATCTCCACGTGCACTATTTCAATTGGCCAGCCCCAGATTCTTGAAGGTATCCTGTCACAGACACTGAACCTGCACCACTCATGATCCAAGAAAAATCTCTCTCGCAATCACAACCTCACTAGTGGTTCACAGAGAGCCAACTACTTGTCCGATCCACAACCTCAGACTTCATCAGCCAATGAAATCATGGATAGAGATTCTCATGGTAAGATAAGCATCCACATTTCCTCTCCATATATACCCCTTTCAAACACAACCTCAGCATCCCATCTCAGCTTCTCCTCGCACAGTTCTCATAGCATCATCTCCAATGGCCTCCACAATGGCTCTCTCCTCCCCTTCTCTCGCCGGGAAGGCGGTGAAGCTCACCCCTTCGGCAGTCGAAGTCATCCACTGCAGGTGGGCGATGCTCGGTGCTCTCGGCTGCGTCTTCCCTGAGCTTCTGGCCCGCAACGGCGTCAAGTTCGGCGAGGCTGTCTGGTTCAAGGCCGGTGCTCAGATCTTCAGCGAGGGAGGTTTGGACTACCTGGGCAATCCTAGCCTTGTTCATGCTCAGAGCATCCTCGCGATTTGGGCTACTCAGGTCGTTCTCATGGGAGCTGTTGAGGGATACAGAGTTGCTGGTGGGCCTCTCGGTGAGGTGGTCGATCCTTTGTACCCCGGCGGCAGCTTCGACCCGTTGGGGCTCGCGGACGATCCGGAGGCTTTTGCTGAGCTGAAGGTGAAGGAGATCAAGAACGGTAGGTTGGCGATGTTCTCGATGTTCGGGTTCTTCGTTCAGGCGATCGTGACCGGAAAGGGGCCTTTGGAGAACTTGGCTGATCACCTCGCTGATCCTGTCAACAACAATGCCTGGTCCTATGCTACCAACTTTGTTCCTGGAAAGTGAGGGGTTCACTTTTTTTTTTCCTTTTTCCTTTTTTCCTCTGAAGCAACAATTACTTGAATGGGCCTGCATTATCATGAATGGGTTTTGGATGTTGAGGTTGTTGATGGTGTAAATTAATCTCGTTCAATAGAAATCTTTCTCTGATTGCAAAAAAATTAATCTGATGCAATATAAATCTTTCTCTGATTGCAAAAATTTGAATGTTGAGGTTGTTGATGGTGTAAATTAATCTTGTTCAATATAAATCTTTCTCCGATTGCAAAAATTTTAATCTGATCCTTTTGAACCTGGCCTGGGCTATTTTCATTTGGTTTAACCTTAAAAACAAAGTAAAAAAGAGTTACGAGAACTTGTGAGTTGTTAATCAGTCCGGATTGTTAGTTTGAGATCAAGTTAGTAGATAGAATTCTAGTTAGAATAGAATACTAGTTAGTAGATAGTTCTCTAGTTATTGGATAAGAATTGGAGTTGTAATCTTATCTATATATACATGTAATACTCTTCATGAAAGTAGAGGAACGCGAAGGTGCAGACCTTGAAGTCCGAGTTCGAACTTCTCCGGATGAAGGAGAATGATAACGTTCACGATTTTTCGACGAAGTTGACAGGAGTCGTCAACAAGATTCGGGCTTTAGGCGGCGAGATGGAGGAGAAACACTGTTTACAGTTTTTTATAAAGCTTTCAGGTCTTGTAATCTGGCCGATCCTGTCAAGGAGCCAACAAGTGGTATCAGAGCCGTGTATGCCTAAGATTCAACGAAGATCTGAAGCGATGACGAGTTCGGAGAAGATGACGACCAAGGTGGGTTCTCTCACTCTCCAATACCCGACGCTATCGAGGGATAACTATGCTTCGTGGGCAATCAAGATGAAAGTCTACATGAAGGCTCAAGACGTGTGGGACGCCATTGAGCCCGCGGCAGGCGTGTCCGTGGAACACAGGAAGGATCAGATGGCGTTGGCGGCCATCTACCAGGGGATTCCTGAAGAGACTTTGATGGTGATTGCAGAAAAGCAAACGGCAAAAGAGGCATGGGAGACGTTGAAAACAATGCACCTAGGAGCGGATCGTGTGAGGAACGCGAAGGTGCAGACCTTGAAGTCCGAGTTCGAACTTCTCCGGATGAAGGAGAATGATAACGTCGACGATTTTTCGACGAAGTTGACAGGAGTCGTCAACAAGATCCGGGCTTTAGGCGGCGAGATGGAGGAGAACTACGTCGTCAGAAAGCTACTTCGGGCGGTACCGGAGAGATTCCTTACTATCGTCTCCACGATTGAACAGTTCGGGGACATCGACGACATGACACTCGAGGAGGCGATCGGGCGTCTCAAAGCCCACGAGGAGAGGGCACGTGTTTTTCGAAACAACGTCGACGATCACCTATTGTTGACGCATGCGGAGTGGCAAGCAAGGAGCAAGAAGAACGGCGGAGGCTTCCTCTCAATGGGGTGCAGCTCGCCAAGGGGGGGAGACTAGCACAAGCGGCGGTCGAGACAAATCCAACATTAAATGCTTCAATTGCGGAGTATACGGGCACTTTCAGTCGGAGTGTCACAAGCAACGCTGCAACCATGAACAGGAGGCTCATTTCACCCGTGCATATGACGAAGAGCCAACCTTGATGATGGCTATGTTAGAGGAATCGTCAAGTGTCATTTTGTTTAATGAGGAGAAGGTGATGCCGGATTTACTTACAGCGGGGGAGGCACATGTTGACAACAACACTTGGTACCTAGACAATGGAACTAGCAACCATATGACCGGCCACCGAGACAAGTTCAAGGAGCTCGACGAGAACATCAAGGGAACCGTCAAGTTTGGTGATGGATCTGTGGTAGAGATCAAGGGGAAAGGCTCTATCCTCTTTCAGTGCAACAACGACGATCAAAGGCTACTACCTGAGGTATATTACATTCCAAGTTTGAAATCTAACATTATCAGCCTTGGTCAGATGACTGAAGATGGGAGTAAGGTTGTTATTGCTGACGAGTTCCTGAGGGTGTTTGATAGGAACGGTGTTCTCTTGCTGAGGGTGACATGTTCAACTAACCGATTGTACAGGATAGAGTTAAAGACTTGCAAGCCGGCGTGTTTGATGGCGAACATTAACGATCCAGCTTGGTTATGGCATGCTCGCCTTGGGCATGTAAATTTCTTCGCCCTCAAGATGATGACTGAAAAGAGGATGGCTTCCGGGTTGCCGAAGATCTTGCACCCGAATCAACTATGCGAAGTTGCCTTGTCGCCAAGCAAGCAAGACTGCTGTTCCCTTCGCAAGTAAATTTCAGAGCTCAGAAGCCGCTGGAGTTACTACATGCTGACCTATGTGGTCCTATCACCCCATCTATACTTGCTGGGAACAACTACTTCCTTCTTATCGTTGATGATTTCAGCCGATGGATGTGGGTATACATGTTGAAGGCCAAGAGTCAAGCTTGTGAAACCTTCAAGAAGTTCAAAACAGAGGTTGAGAACGCATGTGACCACAAGGTGAAGACATTAAGGACGGATCGTGGTGGGGAGTTTTTATCAAAGGAGTTCACCAAGTTATGTGAAGACGACGGCATCAAGCGTTATCTCACTGCACCATACACCCCGCAGCAAAATGGTGTAGTGGAGAGGCGTAACCGCACGGTGATGGACATGGCGAGAAGCCTACTTAAGAGCATGCATATGCCTGGAACAATGTGGGGTGAAGCGGTTAGACACGCGGTGTACATCCTCAACCGACTACCAACCAAGGCGTTGTACGACCACACACCCTACGAAGCTTGGTATGGTAAGAAGCCCCACCTAGAACACTTGAGAGTTTTTGGATGTATGGCACATGTGAAGATTGCAGGTCCTTCTCACAAGAAACTCGATGACCGGAGCACGCCAATGGTGTATATTGGGGTAGAAGAAGGAAGCAAAGCGCATCGCCTCTACGACCCTCAACACGGCAGAATTCATGTCAGCAGAGACGTCGCGTTCGAGGAAGGAAAAGAGTGGGAATGGAGCGCCGATGGAGTCGAAAGATCACCTAACTGGACGGCGTTCACAGCGGAAGCTGAGACCACAACAACTGGAAGCCGGCGCAGCAGCCGGTGCATCTCCTGCAGTCCAAACTGGACAGCAGGCAGTCCGGTTCTCTGGACAGCAGGCAGTCCGGTTCAGACTGCCAGCAGCCGGCCAGAACAGTCCACAGACTGGTGCTGGTCCAAGAACAGTTATTGCAGCAGTGATCCCTGCTGTATTGGAGCCTACGAGAGGTCAATCTGGACAGTTGTCAGACCGAACCAGTCCACATACACCTGCTGGTGCTGCAGGCCGAACCAGGAGCAGTCCAGAAACTACTGCAGAGGCAGCAAACCCCACTGCATTGGATCTGTCCGGACCTCCTGAAGCTGCAGTGATGACTCCTGTACGCTATCGATCCCTTGCGGACATCTATGCAGAGACGAAGGTGATTGATCTCCCTGCAGAGGAGTTGTTCCTGATCTCTGAAGAACCTGCGAACTATCTCGAGGCTGCATCAGATCAAGAATGGAGGACAGCGATGGAGAAGGAGATGGAGGCCATCGAGAAGAACAAGACTTGGGTACTCACGGAGTTACCACGGGGTTCCAAACCCATTGGTCTCAAATGGGTGTACAAGCTGAAGAAGGACAATGAAGGCAACATTCTCAAGCACAAAGCAAGACTTGTAGCAAAAGGGTACGTCCAGCAGCAAGGCGTGGACTTCGATGAGGTGTTTGCACCTGTGGCGAGGCTTGATACCATCAGAATAATCCTCGCTATATCAGCACAGAACGGGTGGGAGGTGCACCATTTGGATGTGAAGTCGACATTCCTAAATGGTGATCTCCAGGAAGAAGTGTATGTGGTTCAACCTGAAGGGTTCGTTGTGAAGAATCAGGAGCACAAGGTCTACAAACTATGAAAGACACTCTACGGTCTACGCCAAGCACCTCGGGCATGGAACACACGCCTCGACAAGTGCATGAAGGGCATCATATTTGCAAGATGTACTCAGGAGCAGGTGGTATACACCAGGAGTAACAGAGGGGATACACTCATTGTTGGCGTGTACGTGGATGACTTGATCGTTACGGGCTCGAGGGCGGATGAGATAAAGTTTTTCAAGCAACAAATGATGAAGGAGTTCGAGATGAGTGACCTTGGATTGCTTTCCTATTATCTTGGTATCGAGGTGGATCAGCGAGATGATTGCATTGCACTAAGGCAGGCGGCCTATGCGAAGAAGGTTTTGGGTCAGTTCGGCATGATGGATTGCAACCCGAGTCAATATCCCATGGAAGCAAAGCTAAAGCTTGGAAATGATTCTGAAGGAGCACCGGTGGACGTGACAGAGTATAGACGCATCATCGGATGCTTGAGGTATCTAACTCACACCCGACCCGATATCACATATGCCGTGGGGATTGTGAGTAGGTACATGGAGCACCCTACAGTTTTGCATAGACAGGTTGTCAAGCATATTTTAGGTACGTGAAGGGTACTATGTCCTACGGATTGGTGTACAAACGAGGTCGAGGCAATGAAGAGTTAGTGGGATTCACTGACAGTGATCTTGCGGGAGATGTTGATGACAGACGCAGCACAGGCGGCATGGCATTTTATCTAGGTGACAGTTTGGTCACTTGGACATCACAGAAGCAGAAGACGGTGGCATTATCATCCTGCGAGGCAGAATTTATGGCGGCAACTGCAGCAGCATGCCAAGGCTTGTGGTTGAGGAGTTTAATCAGCGAGGTGATTAGGAGTGAGCCCAAGCCGGTTACACTCTTCGTCGACAACAAGTCTGCGATTGCTTTGATGAAGAATCCAGTTTTCCATGGAAGAAGCAAGCATATTGACACACGTTTTCACTTCATTCGTTAGTGTGTTGAGCGAGGATAGATTAAAGTGGAGTTCGTGAGCACGAGCGAGCAGCGAGCGGATATTCTCACGAAGGCACTAGCAAGGGTAAAATTCATCGAGATGCGGGAGCTACTAGGAGTAAGGAACTTAGAGTCTCGTCCAGATTAAGGGGGAGAATGTGAGTTGTTAATCAGTCCGGATTGTTAGTTTGAGATCTAGTTAGTAGATAGAATTCTAGTTAGAATAGAATACTAGTTAGTAGATAGTTCCCTAGTTATTGGATAAGAATTGGAGTTG